TTCCTGCTGTTGTGAACTTCAGAACTTACTAACATTAAACAATAAAACTAGAAACACGACACAGTTCAACCACATGCTGTAGTAAAATGGATTAACTCTCCTGTGTCTCCTAAGCTATATTTAGCTTTTAAAGGCTAGAAACCCTCCTCTGTCCCCCCAAACACCATCTGCGAGCCTTAGAAGGGAGCCGAAAGCCCTTCGCCCAATCCAGCCAGAGGAAAGTTTAGAAAACAAAGAACAGGAGAGTTCAGACTTGTAGAAGGTCCGGACTCAATCAGAGTCTTACTCCATGAAGTAAACACGCTAATTCTATAAAAATCTGCTCTTACTCCATCATGGACTCATTTCTTACAAAACGTTTAAGAAGGGTTTGTTTACAGGAACAGCCTTTCCGAACTGCCCCTATGATGGGGACAGACAGCCCCCGCTGCCTCCCGATTCCCCCCCCCCACTCTTCGAGGCTCCGTCGTGATTTTTCAAAGTTAATTGGCACCACCTGCATACCCTCGGCAAGCATTACTCACCAACACGCCCTCGTCGTTCCTAGCCCCAGTTCTGTGGCTGCATTTAAACTTTAATCGTGTTCAAGTTACCCTGCCATCGCGAATGTATCAGTAAGCCTCACTTTAATGTTCTGAGAAGAACAGGACTCCCTCCTTTCCTCCCTCCACACACCGCGGGGCCCTAAGTTCTCACTCCCTCCCTCCCCGCACTTCCCTACCCCTACCCGACACTACCAAAACAAAAGCTATCAGATTGCAGGCGACAGCGTGTGGAGCGATATTGCTTATTAACTATGTACAAAGGAAGTGCGGGGCAGCGGGGGAGGGAGTGCAACAAAACTCTGGCCACGAAACCCAGCCCAAGGTTGCGCGCTAGCAAAACAAAACACCCTCCTCCGCCCCCCCGCCGCCGCTGATTCTGGCGCCCCTTAAACGACGACGCACGACACCTCTCGCCAGGGCCCGGCGTCTCGGTGTCCCGGAGCGGCCGTGTGGCTGCAGCTACAGCCCCGCGTTGCGAGCACGTGTATGGAAATGCAAGTCGGCTCCGACCACACACCCACTCCCGCACACTCGGATGCTGCGCTACCACCCCCTAGCCCTGCCAGGAGGAGGAGAGGGTCCACCCGCCGGTAGAAACTGGAAGAAGCTCCCAGCACCCTCTGAACTGGGGGTCCGGACGCGCTCCCCGGAACAGCCCAACTGACGCAGGGCCCCCGACCTCGCACTTTTCCAGGGGCTTCATAGAGGGGCGGGGGGCCTAAGCGAGAACGCTCCCCGCACCCCTGAGCAGCACTGAGCAGCCCCGGGAAGCCGGGGACTGGCGACCCACCGCGGGTCCGGCGAAAGCGACATGGAAGGCCAGGAACCCGAAGAGCCCAAGGGACAAAGCACGTTGGGCGACAGAAGGCCGCGCTGGAATGTTTGGAAACCTATCCTGGGGCTGCGAAGCCTCTCCGCCAGGCACCTCCTCCAGGGCACCTTGCACCCCCAAAGGCCAGTAGGCTGCCCGCTCCCGCCACCGGTCACCGAGTTTGCCCCAGCCGCGAGGTGGCCGCGCGAGCTGTCACCGCCGCCTGCGCGGTGCGCAGCCCCGCGCACCGGGAGGGGCGCGTGGTGCGGGAAGCCGGGCGCGAACTTCCCCGCTGGAGCCCGCGGGCCGCCCGGGAGTGAGCGCTGCGGAGACAGCCGACCCCCGGGGCAGGGCTCTAGGGACAGCGAAAGAGAAAGCCACCGAGGCCCTTCCCACGTGGGGATGCGCTAAGCTGGGGCCCGCGGGGCTCCAAACTAACGAACCTGAGCCCCGGGGCCCCTCCGGCCTTCCGGCCGAGCCCCTCGGCGCCCCGCCCCGCGGCTCCCGAGACCGGGAGCCCGACAGCTGCGACGGTGGCAACTCGTGTTTCGCAAACAGGGCGCAGCCCCTCAGAGGAAAAGTTCCCGCAGTGGCCGCGGGCGGCGGGCACATACTCACTTTCTCCACTCGTCGGCCAGAGCGAGAGCGCGGCGGAGAAAAATAGGAGCCCCCACAGCGAGGTCGGGGACCCTCCTCCGGAGCCAGACTTCATTCCTTTTATTTGGGACGAAATTCCCCTTTCTCAAAAAAAAAGGGGGGTGGGAAGGAAAATAAAAAGTCTCAAACTCAGTCTTCGCCCCCCCCCTCCAAAAACAAGGGCGAAGGCAACAATATTCCAAAGGCGGCGCCGGCCGGGGGTCCGCGGGGCGGCGCGGACGGGGCGGGCGGCGGCGCTGGGCGGCCCCTCAGCGCCGGCAGCCGCGGCCGAGGACTCGGCGGAGTCGGGAACCCGATGCGCGCCGGGGCGGGCTGTCGGCGTCGTCGGCCTCCATTTTCAAACCCAAAGAGACAGGAGGGAGGAAAAACTGCAAAGAAAGGGGGCAAAGCCCAAATCCGTCTCGACGAGGGAGGACAAACCCGACCCCAGACAGAGGAGGAGGCTGTCCGACGCCCGAGCCTCCGCGGCGGGAGGGCGCGACGCAGTTCGCAAGATTGCCCCGAAGTCCGGGTCGCGGGCGAGGCCGACCGGGGGCAGAAATACGGAGTAAAAATGAATGAGCGGCTCCCCCTCCTCCTCCGGGCTCCGCTCGCCGCCGCCTCCTCCCACAGCTCCGCCGCCGCCGCCGCCGCGAGCTCCTTCCCAAATCCAGGACACACACAAAGCGGCGGGCCGACCGCGCCGCGCTCAGCACTCCCGCCGCGCCGCCCGGGCTCCGCGCCGCCGCCGCCCGGCCCGCGCCGGCCCCCGCCCGCCGCCGCCGCCGCCGCCGCCGGCTCCGCGCGGGGGCCCCGGCTCGCTGAAGGTCAAAGCCGAGGCGCGCGGCGCGCCGTGGAGCTCCCCTCGCGCGGGAGGGGTGTGGAGGGCCCGGGGAGCGGGGCCGAGGGTCTGCAACCTCCAGGCACGGGCGCGCTGGGAGCAGGCTCGCTGGCGGCGTCCCTCTCTCTCGCTCGCCTCTCGAGTTCGCCTGGTGCGCTCGCTCCTCCTCGGGTTTTTTTCTTTTTTTTTTTTTTTCCGCTCAGCAGAGTTAATGCTGGTAAACAAGAGCCTCAGCCTCGCCGCTGCCGCCGCCGCTGCCACACACTGGGGGCTCTCGCGCGCGCGCTCTCGGGGCCGCGCACACCCGCCCGCGCGCACACCCGCCCGCGCGCACACTGGAGCGGCCACAGCCGCAGCCGCGGCGCGCGGAGGGCCCGGCCCAGGCCGGCGCGCGCCAAGAGCCGGAGCCTGGGATTTCAGGGCAGTGCGGAGCGGAGCCCGGGCGTGGGATGCGAAGCTGCGAAGCACCGCCCCCGCCCCCTGCCCGCGCGGGCACACGCGCGCGCCCACACGCTCTCGCCCCCACCCGCACTGCGCCGGCCACCCTGCACGCGCCCTCCCCTCCCGCAAGACTCCAAAAACAATGCCCCCGGTGCCTGTCCGGGCACAGCGGAGGAGCTAGCAGGGGAGGGAAGGAGGGGCTGGGATGGGGGCGGGCGGGGAGTGCGGGGCCCGAGAGGTTCATTGAAAACAACAACAGCAAGGCTGGAAAACGCGTTTCCCCAGTTCTTGAAAAGCTTCATTGTTTCTTGCAGCTGTTGCAAAAGAAATAAGTGCGTGCATGCGGCATTTTTTCGCAGCCTGCTGGAAAGCTCGAACGTGGCAGGAGGGGCATACCTGGGAGAAAGGAGACCCCCAGGCTACTAAGTGGGCACATTCGCACAAGGCTGGGGCAGCCACGGCGTCGCCATCGGAGAGCCCACAGTTCCAGGGCTCGCGGGCAGCTAGGGCGAAGGGCGCGGTTCGCGTGGCTCGGCCCGGGGAGCAAGGGGAGACGGCCCGCTGGGGCCCGGAGCCGGGGAAGGGGAGCCCAGACAGACTGCCCCGCGTGCCCAGCGCGCGTCCCCGCGGCAGCCGCCAGGGGGCGCGGCAGGAGCCGGGGAGGGCTGGCCCGCGGAGTGTCGCCTCCCTCCCTCCGGGAGAGGAAATATGGGGGCCCGGACTGGGGGCCGGCCGGGTTGGGTAGCGCTGGCCCGGCCTCCGAGACCCGCGGCGGGTCCAGAGAGATGCTCGCGGATTCGCGCTTCTCCTGGCTCCACCACGTGGGCGGCTGAGGGGAGAGGCCAGGGCGCGTGCACGGCGCGAGGCTCCGGGGGCCCCGAGGCTAGGGGGCGTGTCCGAGGGGTTCCCCGAGGAAGGGGTGGGTGGACCGGGGCCGAGACGGGTCTCCCGGTTGGGTTCGCGACAGGCGAACACGCCTCACACAAGCACAATGAGTGGTCACTGCGGAAACCCACCCGCACCTGCCTCGGGTCCTCCCGGGCACGTCTCTCTTGCCTCCTTCGCTCTGTAAGTGACTAGAAACTACCAGTCCAGTCTCCTCTGTGGTTTTCTTGAATGTGCCCCAGGAGAGGTTTCCCCAAGGAGAGACTTGCCCTAGGACTGACATCTAATGAATAACGCTGCGGAGACCAGGTCCTCAAAGCGGGAAACAGCCCAGCAATGGCTAGAGAGAGGAGTTTGAAATACGTAGACTTTTAAAAATAGTGATTGGACCACGTGTCGCCTTTAATGTGGTCCGGTTTCATGACTCAGGCTAATTGCTGTCAATAATAAGTAAAAAGAAGATGGCTAACAAAGAGTTGTGAATGTCGAGATTGAGTAGAAGTGTTAGTCTCATAAACAATCAGGCTGTCTGGTAAGAGGGGATCTGTTCTAAAGGAAAGTAGGTTTCTTTTTTTTACTCTAATTGTAAAAGGTTTCCGCGTTACGTTATGCATCCCATCGTTCGTAAATAATTTTTTAAATTAACAGCTGTAAACAAGTCAAAAGCTATTATAATGGAAACCTAGCCCTTTTCCCCCTATATTTATTCCCTAGATCATTTTTCCCCTTGGAAATTTTTAGCTCAATTCAGTGAGTCAGTTGGATAGAAGGGAAATAAATCTTTTTATACTTAAGAAAGTCATTCATATGGGATTGTTTTGTTTAACTGAAATTCAGCTGAATTTTTAAATAAAATGTTACGGTTTTAGATATTCCTGGACATTAACAAAGAAAGAAATATATTTGAATCTTTAAAAAGAAATTTAAATTTAGCATGTATCATTTTAAAAGTAGGCACTACCATATGAATAATTAAAATTTGGTCTACTAATTTTTAAATATTTCTTCAGACAGTTCCCTATATGAGGTTGGTTTCAATGCCTACAGATCCATTCTGCAATTAAATGTAAAAGAATATCAATATTATATTTTCATTATATTTAATTTTCAGAATTTTGTAATACATACTTGTAGATTAAGACAAAAGTTTAGAGCTGATTTTTTTAAAGAATGATGCTAATATAAGATCTTTAAATACTACACAATATATATTTTAGTATTAGTAAATTCATTCAGTTGTCCCTGAGAACATAAGGGGGTATATGGAATAAAGAGAAATGCATAGTTATTTAAATTGTAGGGGTTTTTTTTAACCAAAATGAGCTTTCATTTGTGATTTTTTTAAAATGTTTTTTTTTCCTGAAGTGCTAGGATGTCAATAAGGTTAAATTATTTTAGACAGTGAAGTTAAATGTTTTTTATCATATAGCTTAATATTTAGGAAAAAAATCAAAATTTAGGTTGCCTTTCAGCTCTACCTTGATTACACAAAGAAGGTGATTTGCATTTTCTTCAATTATTACATTGTACATACCAAAGTCAAGCTTATTTTTTCAACCTTGTAAATAAAATCAGGTAGTAAAACATTAATTGGAGTATTTGCTTTACAACTGCACTGCCAATGCGTCACACATTTTGTTTTATGCAATTTTCCCCAGGTATCTTATAAATTTCCCTTGCTTTGGAACTGAAACTGGTTGCTCATTTTCACTTTATAAAAACTGTTTACTTGAAAAGAGTTATATCTCAAATTACTGTGCTAAATGTACCAGATCCCCCCACCAAATGTAATATATACCAAGTGAAAAATATGAGAAACAGCACAAATGACAGTTGACAAGTAATACAATATATTGTGATATATTCCCAGAAAGGAATGTCATTCAACAGCGAGTGAATAAACTACAGCCACATACAACATGAGCAGATATTTGAAGCAATATATTAAGTAAAGAAATGCAAGTTCCGAAAAACTATACACATAATACCATTTTGATAAAGCTCTTAAAAGCCGGGAAAACAAAAACTATGAGGCAAATTTTAAAGCAAGACAATCAAATACATGATAAAATATTTTTGTTTTGTTTTGTTTTGTTTTGCTTTTGTTTTTGTCTTAGCAAGAGGATTCATAAAGAGCACAAAATCCAGATCTTGGTTACTTCAGGGAGGAAGTGGGGAGAACCCCAAAGGCACATGCAATGTTATTGGAAATATATTCATCCTCAGATGGGGTGGTAGATTTACAGATTTCCATTTTATAATTATGCTTTATAACTAACACATATGTTACACATATTTTTGCATGTATAAAATATTAAAGTAGATAAGAAAGAAAAATATGGGAGAAATTCATGAAAGAGATCATCCCAATATGATTCTTCTAGATTCCAAGCTGTTTGTATAAACAAATCAGAAGCATTAAAGAACCACTAAAATTGTATAGTTAATCAAGGTCTTACCCTTAAGGATATATTTCAAGGAATATGTACCCATATCCTATCAATGCAATGCAAGACAAAAACAAATTATGAAACACAAAATGTCAAAGAATTCACTTCATAGGTAACTGGTTCATTAAGAGTGCATTCTGTAAATTGTCTGGCAGTTTCCTATAAGGTTAAGTAAACATACACCTAACTCATGATCCAGCAATTCTACCCCTAGCTATTTAACCAAAAGAAATGAAAATATATCCACAAAGAGACCTGTATGGGAATGTTGATAGTTGCTTTATTCATAATAGTAAAAAACTGGAAACAACCGAAATGTACCTCAAAAGGGAAAAGGACAAACAAATCGTGATATAGCCATTCAACACACTACAGCTTACCAATAAAAAGGAACAAACTATTAATACATACAAAAACATAGATAAGCCTCAAAAGCATGGTAGTGTGTGTATTCATCAAAAACACATTGAACTGTACATTTAAGATGGATGCACTTCATT